CCGGGCGACGACCGAGCCGGTATAATTTTCGAAGGCGTCAATACCATGAATGGCAGGTGGCTGAATTTTAGGGAGATTTGCCACGGTCTCCAACCCTCCTCTTTTCTCATCCGGGCTTGGGACCGGCCATGGCGGAGTTACGAGTTATCCTCCATTTAGAAAACAGACGACTTGTTGAAACGATCTCACTATTAGTTCTTTGGATACTAATACCGGGTAGTTATCATTTCTTCTGTTTACGGGTAGTTATAAGTTCTTCTGTTTAGTTTATAATTAGTGTTCTTCTTGAAAAATTTCTTTAATATACAAGGACGAACTCTGTGAATCCCTGATTGTTATATTTTCTGGGCGTACCTTTTGGTGTTCACAGTATAGTGTCACTTATCCCGTAGTGGCTCGTGAATGCAGACTTTACTGTTTTCGTACTGTTATCGCGTAACTTTGCCATTGCTCGCTCTGCACTACGGCGATGTGAAATTTATATAGTGGAGTGTGCTTTATTGTTCTTCAGGCCATTAAATTTCTTACCGTGCATTATGAGTCAGTTATATATGCCGCAAAACCTCTTCTATACGGTGAGACGAGGCCCGGCACTCGTCATTAAACCATACCATGGCTAAGAGCTTATCAAGCGCCTCCCTTCTGAATCTTTGTTGCCTGGTTGAAATTCGGTAGGATTATGACGGTTACAAGAGAACCAAGCTAAGAAAAACCGCATTAAAGAAGAATATCCTGAAGGTCGCGGAAAACTGCATGTCGCAGTTGTCCTTGTAGAGAGGCATATAATCGAAACATCTTCGGTCAGGATGAATACCCTGTTCAAACATTTGCCGAACGATTTACAGAGTACGTATGGTTGAAGAAGATGACAGCAGCATGATAGAGCTATTCGATGATTCTTCTGTGCAGGAAAGGTGATGCCAAAGACCTCCTAAACTCTCGACCTATAACTCTGCTGTCGCAAGTCTGCAAGGTCCTTTCCTGAATGATCTTCAGCCATTTGCTGAAAGACCTGGAAATGTTCGCTAGTGAAGAACAAGCCGGTTTCTTCGCAGGGTTCTCACCATAGGCCACATTCACGTCAGGAAGCAGTCAACAGAGAAGTGCAAAGACTACTAATTGCCCGTTTGCGTACGCACTTATCGACTTCAGGAATGCGTTCGATTCCGTTGAACTGGGCGCTATACTGAACGTCTGGAGCATCTGTGATGTCAGCCGTATCTAGTCGCCCTGAAGGAGGATGCGAATACTAATACCTCATCCGACATCAAGCTCTTTGAAGAACCGTCTCGAATCAACATCAGAAATGCGCGAAAGAGACACCATCTCTCCTGCTATTCGCGATGTTATAGCAAACCCTCTGTAACTGTCTGAATTGGAGCGGCAGGATTAACGTTGACGGAAAACGCATTACCCATTTACTCTATGCAGACGACGACATCGTCTTTGCCAGCGAATCGGTAGAACTCCAAACAAAAATTGTTGCAGTTGTAGGCGTGCCCCCCCCTGCACTGGTCTAGCAATGAACATCTAGAAAAGGATTCACCACGAACCCTTCCCCGCGCGTGCCATCCTCACTGACGGCGAAGAATTTAAAAGTCGTTTTCCAGGTATTCCTTGATCACTGAATAGAGCCCAGTAACAACATTGGCAGCGAGATCAGCAAAAGAACGAAGGTGGCATGGTAAATTTTCAAGTACGTCAAAACATCGCCGTTGTATAATGAACTTCCAGTGTCAACAATGAAAGAATTCTTCGACTCCACCGTTCTTCCAACGAAGATTTATGGCATGGAGTGCTGGTGTATCACAGGTATAACACCTGAGAAATAGTAACCAGTAGTAATGCAAAGGGCGATGGAAAAGAACATGCAGGTCTCCCTTCGAGACCGTGTTCCGAGTGCAACTGTTCGTTGTCGGACAGAATTTTTCGATGTACTCATTGTCACCTACATATCGAGGAGACGATGGGCTGGCCATGTGGCTCGTCTGAAAGACAACCGTTGGAAATCCTGAGTTTCCTACTGGATCGTCCTCGGAAGTGGACGTCTCCACTCGTTCATTCAGCAATTCGGTTGGACGACCCGTTGGCAAAGTTGCTTCTTCAGCGGTGGAATGGAAGTTCATAACATTGAAAGTGGCGCAATCTCGGCATGCGTCTGTGGCGCTTCCGCTGACGAGAACAGCTGAAACAAAACAATATTAAGCGAGATAACCAAAGGGCAGCAGGTTATTGGTATTCTACAGCAATTAGTGCGATATGTAATGCAAATTCACCACTAATATGAACCGAGTAGATTTATTATTGTAGGAGCAAGGCACGAACCTAAATAAGTGTTTTCGATATAAAAATACGGTCTTTGCCAGCGTTAGCATTGCTGAAAGCTCTTTGTATTATGTACCCAGATATTACGTGGTAATCGCCCTGCCCTTTCGCTCCTGATCGCTTCGTGGGTCTTTTAAGCCATCAGCAGTTCCGTTGTATTTGAGCATTTGCATTCACAGATATCGCTTTAGCTTATTCGCTAGAGCGGCCTTTTTCTGATTATGAATGATGTGTAAGGAGTTCATATAGTTATATGCCCCTGTTCTTCATGTTTGTGTTGTACCGTGCATGAATTACCGGATTCTTAAACGTCGATATATGTGCCTGGAGATGAGTTTTGATTTTCATTAGAAAAAATGGAGTCAACCTAATTAATTGGGCTGAAGAGTTAATGAGTAATTGTCTGTAGCTAATTTTTATGAGTGTCAAATATCGTCGTTTCTAATTGAGAAAACGAAGAAACAAGGACAAGTGCTGCTTGATGACATTGGTTTACGGCGAGGCATCTGATGGTCATCTGTGTCGTTCCCGGTTGCGTGATCTGCGCTTGACCATGCATACCAGAACAGGACAGTTGCTGTTTTACGATAAAAAATCCGACGACGACCATTTTCATCAGGTTCCCGCAGTATGCACTAGATAAAAAAGTATCATTTATGTGATATTTAATGTTGCGCTTAAGACCTTGCGCTTGGAGCACAAGGACGAAATGACGGTTTTCACTGAGCTGCTTGATGCAAACGTCACTCTTTGCTCTCCACAGGTTCCACAGCTGTTTTCGGACAACTTTGATTTTTTGACGTTGGATGACCTCATTCGCGAAGTACTGATCAACGAGGAGGTAACAGATTTTGCTATTCTATTTGTGATTTTCCTGTTTGCTGAAGGCCGCTTTTTTGTGGAGTGGTAGATGGGTGGAAAGTATCTTTATGACCATTATCAAAAAGGAAAGTGCTGTCTTTAAGACAGTTCTTCCATTTCAAGATCTGGTCGTAACTGGACCGGATGGAAATCCTAAAAATGTTCATTCAGTCGTTTTCGACAGAATGAGGTATTATGCTTAGGTCCTTTGAATTTTTTTTGTAACAGATCAGTGGCAAGATTTCGTTTGGGGTTGTTAATTGTGGTGTTAACTTAGCCATCCAGTGTCTTCCAATCCTCTTGTGTTTCAGTGTTTTCCTTTCAGCGTTTGACGATACGGAAATGACTGTTTCTCCTTTTGGTAGATCTTGCTGACCTCCAACATTACAATAGCAATCATTTCATTTCATTCGACAAGCAGAAACTTTGATATCCGTTAATAAATTGCAGTCTTCTCGTTGATTTGTTTTTTTTTGTTTTTTTTTTGTTACTACCTTAAGCCATTTGCACAAGCATAACATCTTTAAATTTTGATCGCAGCTTTACAAGTTGCTGTAGCGTTCCAGTTACTGCTTCGTCAAAGGAACAAACGCTCTCCGACTTCAGGTCTATCTGTATCTATGTTATTCAGGTTGTAAGGTTGTCGCTGGGTCGACGTTTACCTGCATCGACTCCAACATGAAGAGCTCATGGGCGAAAATAAATAGTTTATGATCAACCAGTTTGTCTATCATGGCTGACTTGCTTTTCTTAGTCTCTTCATTTACCGCGCATTCCTGTGTCCGGAATGGGATACATACATTCGTTACTCGATCCTGCAATTTAACACTCATTATGCGCTAAAGCCAATGCTGTTGCACACGATTCAATCGTCGTTCTTCTACCTGAATGAGGGAAGGTACAGGATGATTTTTGTGAAATTGAGTTTTCCACTTTTAGCATAAATATTTTACAAGTTACGGAACGCACTAAAGTCAAGGATGACTCGTATTTGCTTATGACTGATGAACATGATGGATTCGAGTTAAATAAATTGGTCAACTTCCTGAAATGCTTCGCTTCTTTGTTTCACCTGTTAGTTACCTGTGCTAGAAGGGTTCTTCATTGCTTTTGACTTAAGTTAAGGCGTTAAGCAAGAAGACAGCTTTCGCAACAGTGTCGCACATGGAAGCCGTTAGGTGTCAGAGTCCTCTCCTTGTACTACTTACCTAGACAGTGTCATTTTTTACTACAGGTCAGCAAAATATGTAGTCGATTATTTTGAACTGCGCCTTCCGTCTAGAATGAGACTTTTCTTTGCTACGGTTGGCATTCCTTCCAAGAGGAAAGTCAAGAACATTGTTGAACAGCAAGGGCAAAAGTATATTTTCATGGCGAACTCCATTCTTCTGCAGCTTTTATAGCAGAAGTGGTTCTTGCATACATCTCTTCCAAATTAAAAGCGATGTGCTCAGGTATTTCATAGCATTTCTAGACTTTTCACATTGTCAGAGGATGTAAAAAATCAAATGCAGACTTAGTGGAAAGTGGCAAACCAACGCAATTAGAATCGTTGGCATCGTTCAGTAATCCTCCGAAAAATGAAAATTATGATCGAGCAGGACTACACATCGAAAGCCTGCTTGATTTTGCGAAGCCTTCTATCATTTGCTTGCTTCATCCTTTCTAGAATAATTCGGGAGATGAGCTTCCCTCGATTGAATAGTAGTGTGACACCACCTCGAAAATTGGAACACTCCGTATTAACAATTACTCCACACTTTCATTCTCTAGGGAACAGCTTTGAGGTCAACGTTTGCATTCCGTTACTCCCTGCCTAATTATCTCTGAAAGAATTCGATCCTCGCCGTAGGCCTTTGCCTTAATATATAAGCTAGGCTTTTTCTTAAGTTAATTTGCAGTAACCTCTAACGTTTGCAGAAAATTAATTTTGGTAGGAAAGGTTGAATTTTGGGTCAGGCTGATCAGGAGTTGCTGAGAAAGATTAAACTGTTTTCTGGAGCAATGATTCTGATTTGCAAGTGGGGCACACGCGTAGAGATAAGGTCGGGTTCCCTGCTTAGCGGATAACTGTCATACTTCTCATTGGTTCACCCCTAGTGACTTCAGTTCATGATCCTGATTATACAGCCCAGCAGTAGTTCTTTGCCCCGCTTTGTTTGACTTTACAAATGAGACGTCGATATGTTGCCTTCAAGAATGCATTCTGGTTTTGTAAATTCTGCTTCATGGCCTGATTAATCTTCTCTCCCTAACTGATCCGCTTGGCTGTCCTCTTCTTGACTGTGACTTCATCGATGTTAGCATTTGTCCATTTCACACTAACGAAGACATTAAAATAGATCGTTATCACTATTTGATAGTCTGACCGCACTGCTTGGTTATTTAGCGGGTCAACGCTGAGCTAGTGTATTTCATGAGAATTGCAGATTGTCAGCTGGATTTTGGCATCTTTCAAAATTCAAAAGAAAACTAAAAAAACCGAAAACTTTCAGGATTATTTTATGTTCTGCCGCTTAGTCTTTCGTTGAGGTCATTTAAATGTCCATCGGAGATTCATATGCTGCTTATATCAGAGATTTCTGTCTGAGGTGATGCCGTTATGTCGGGAAATTGTAGAAGTAAAATGTGCTTTTTCTAGGCGTACCTTACTTGTGTATGATGTCTTTCTTACATTGTCCGAAAAATTATACGTTTTTATGAAAAATTCATGAAAATAGCCCGTTTTTAGCCTATTCAGTCTGCGACTATAAATGAATTCACTTTTTAGATTCTAGGTAATAAAGTTCATGTGTATTTGATGAAGCACGGCTATGTGTCATTTGTTAGGGATTTTCACACGTATCTGGTCACCAGGTATGGAATGCTGGTTTTCTGTTTTGCTCTAGTAATGTTCATTTTGTAGCGTGAATGTCTTAGAGAGATGGAGTTATCCGATAGTCCCGGATCGACTATTACGCGTCAGCACAGATAAAGAAACCCTGGTCGCCTCATACGTATGGAAAAAGAAGAATGTTTATTATGGCGTCGGGTTTTCTGCAGCGGGCATGTAAGGCTTCTTAAGTGCTTGCATTTGACAGTATTCATTTGATTCATCTTTGAAACAGCGAACAGATTTGGTTTTTGAAATATTTATAACAATGCTTTTGACAGACAAGGCTGCTGTTAGCATAATTGTGCTTAATGTCTTTCTTCATCTTTCCCTGGCTTCCAACATGCGACTTAAAGGCAGTAAGGTAGTCACCCAAACTTGTTTCAAGACTTAGTTGTCTAGGTGATTTGGCGTCCCAAGTGACTGAATCAGCTGTATCCCATACTATCTGTATGAGGCACACCATTCTTACTTATCTAGCTAAACCACTCCATGAATATCTCGTTCGTTGCCTGCCGCGCACCGCCAACGCCAGATCCAAGTTTGTCATCGCTTCCAGGACGGAGTTCGATCACAAGTCCATTGTTCAGGCTTCTGCGCGCATCCGCAGGGACTCAGACAGTGATATCTAACCATGCTCCGGTGTGACAGTGTTTATCTGACCATATAAACAGTGCTGAAATATTTTTTTTCTTGCCTTGTTGATATCTGTATAGTTCAATGTTCTTGTTTTATAACATTTATTTACATTTTAGGAATACTGAAAAATGATGTCTTTCTATGACATCATTTAAGCAGTAAAGTTTCAGACCAGTGCTTTGAGTTTTCTGCGAAAAATTTCGCTGCGTCATTACGAAAACGGTTTATAGTAGCTAAGAATTTTTCGTCTCCTATTTTCTACTTTCTTAATAGGCTTAAGTTCATTGTCAACTAATTGTGAAAATACATTTCAGAGGCGTTAACTGAACTCCATTTCTTAGCATCCATGATATTGTGGTAATTATTGAATCCTACATGACTAAATGGACTAAAACATTCAGGAACCTTATTTTTGGCAATAACGTGCAGATCGGCAGCTGCTGTCATATCGGAAACAATGTAAAAATGGAGAACACAGTGATAGGAGATAACTGCGTTATTGGTACAACTCATTCTTTATCATTTTACTGTATTGTACTTTATAGAAGTAAGCTTTTAAGGGAATGATTGCGTTTTGACCAACTGTATCTTATGGGATGACGTTTGTGTTAGTGCTGGATGCGTACTTTCCGAATGCATTGTTCGCAGCCACGCGCGTCTTTCAGAGGGGGTTACGGTTCGTTCTCGATGTGTCGTTGGAGAATATGTAAGAAGAATGTTTCTCTTTAAATACTGATCATCTATTTAGGTAAATCTTCAAGAAGGTGCTACATTAACTGAAGGAAGCTTTTTGGTCATGAGACGTTCAGTCGATGACGATTTAGAGTACGCTGAGACCGGTACTCTCAACCTGAAATCATAATATAATCTTGAGTTTTTTAATTTCAGTGGGGCTCAGCAGTAATCCCGATTATCCTCTCTTTCTGTTGACTGTCGCGCACGCGCGAATTGAGGAAAATGGATATATATGGCCTCCTTGGACTCCACTGAGCTGGCATGCGATTGCCAGTAGCAGCAGCAGCGGCAAGGAATCCGAACAAGAATCTGGAGATGAGGAAGTTCGAATCGTAGAATGCACATCCAATCAGTTTCATATATCTGACGCGTCTGTAGATAAAGATAAACAGAGTTAGTCATTTTCTCTAATAATCCTCTCTGGAGACCGGTATTGTATCATGGTAACATGACTCCTTGATGACGCAAATCGACATTGTGTACAGCCTAAAACAAAGGTTCATCAGAGTGAGAAGCCGGCATATTCTTCGTTGACAAGGGCTTATGTCTGAGAAAGGTCTTATATAGTTTGATTTTCGATGACAGCAATTATTTTTCCTCTCGAACCAAAAAGTCGCAACTCTTATATCAAGGCAAAAGTAAATAAAAACAAAAACAATTGTTTTATTCAGTGAGAAGGTCTCTAGCACAGACCGGGAAGCGTCTGTTAACCGTTTACGCCTATAGGATTTTCCGTTCATTATGGCCTGCATTGCGAAAATTTAGCGTTTTGTTTCCTTTCTGTAAACATTTATGCACCAGGCCCATTTCTTTTCAAGATCGTAATTCGAGCCTTCCCGTTCTTAAAAAAATTTTGCGCAGTGGCATACCATTCATTTCCCAATGTTTATTCCTTCCTCATGATTGCTCGCTTATCGAAAGTCTTCACAACTGTCTTGGTTGCGACGCAAAATACACTGCAGCATGCTTTACCTTAGTGTGTGGTTTCTCACATTCATCGCTGCTAATTTTTCATGCGCAGTAGTTTTTTGAACAAAGATGATTCTGTTATCGTGCACCTTTGTTGTCTTTCGAAAACTGAACTCTAAGGAGAATGTCAATCGCGACTAAGTTCTTTCTTGCACCTCGATCCAATCAAGCCTGTTTAGAAACAGCTAATTTTACATAAGCATGCGAACGCTGAGTAATCGGCTCCAACGAAGTTGGTTACGATGCATTCTGAAGTTCAGTTGATGCTACCGTATTAGAAATAACAATATTATCGTTTTAATTAAACTTCGCTAACATCATGGAAAGACAAATACTTGGTTCG